CGCTGTTGATCACTGTTTTCCTGTTACTGGCAAAGGTACCGTAATGACTGGCACAGTAATCGATGGCTGTATACGGTAAGTTTTGGTGTGTCTTCTTCTGTGCAAAGGGAAACTAACAACTTACAAAGTCTACAGTATTTCTATAGCTAATCATCGAACATACTAGCAAGATTGTCCTCAGTTTTTTCATGATAAATCGGAAGCTTTTTAGAATGTCATTTGATTTGTTCAGGCTCAATCAAGAAATTGAGATTCCAGTATTGAAAGAAAAGAGAAAAGTAAAAGGATTGGAATCTTGGAAAGAAGCAGTCGACCAGGTTTGTTAGTTTACGCCAGAACATCAGAACCTTGCTGCAACTTATTCATTCTTCTTTCAAACATGTAACTCCTCTAGACCACTTTACAAACAAACCGTGATTTTGATCGCTGTATACCTTTCGTTGTCCTGCAGTAAGGCTCAAACGCGGGGTTAGGATTTTTGTAATGAGCATAGTCGATTTTCTCAGAAGGTACAGCAAATTTCGAGCTCCTTGCACTAAAAAAAGTTATTAAATAGAATTAGTTGGTTGTTTGTTTTTGTCTCTGAACATCAACTTTAACCGCTTCTAGTGTAATCTAATTTCTTGTAGAGAAAGATCTTCTTGCAAATTATATATAATGTAACGCGAAACTATCGGTTTCCCAAAAAATTTTGAGTTTGAAAAAAACGGCACTAGCTTAACCGACAACCAACAAAATTTCCTGATCACAAGCAATTGTGCTTCTTGAGACCGTGAGATATCGAGACTTATTTGCTCTGCATTTTTAGGTGGCGGCTGGAGAACGAGCGGCTATCTTAGTGCAACAGCTAAATGCCCATTCCATCTCTCGCACAATGAGTATGTTTACTTCCATTTTGCGGGAAATGGAAATTTTTTTGAAATTTTTCCAGTTTGTTCGCCTGGAGCATTATTTGAGATAGATTCATGCATTGCTTCGGTAAATGCTATCTCATTCTATCGCGGCATTGTGTCTTCTGGAATGAAAATCCATATTTCTATTGGATTTGAGACAGTTATGGCGGAATGCCAATTTCTTCGACCAGACGCTGACGAGTTCGAGCAGCTAACCACACTAGAGGCTCCCTGCGTTTGTTGGCTGACTTTCGAACGTCCTGTACATACTCGCCCAAGCTCCTTCTATATCGCGTCAAAATTAGATCATCAAGGTCGGGGTTGTCGTTTTCTATTCCATGGTCAGCTTGGAGAACAGCTGAAAGACAGAAAATTACGGCGATTCATTCGAAAAGAACGAGTTGGTAAAGCAGAAAGAGTGGAGAATCCACGAAGCATTGTGTGTAATTCGCTTTTCAAAAAGGAGACGAAAATGAGTATATTTGAAAGAATGCCATTAGTCTTAAGCACAGGAGAAGTTGGAAAGGTTTCTTCAGCTTTTGGCAAGGGAGGAAAGGTACGAATAGAGTTTGGCACTCCTTTGGCTGACTCTACCATTGAAAAAATCGCCAATGGCATAGATGTTGAAGTGCATCTACACATGAAAAAATATGTCGGAGAGAAGGAAGTCAAAGGATATCTACCTGTCTGAAGAGTTTAGAAGTCTGAATT